AATACCTTCAGTCGCTGCTGAGTGGGTACCTCCTCCCCTCCCCTCTCGTTCACTCGTTCGTGGTTCGTCTTTCCCTCTCCTCCCCTCCCCTCCCTTCCCCTCAACTCCCCCCCGCTATTGTCAGTCGGTGGGGTCGGGTCGGTATGTGAGGTGTGTGTGAGCAAGAGGGGGATTCGAGGGGGCCTGCCCCGCCTGGTGGCTCTATGCTGGCTGTGCGCGAACCCCCCTCGGGGTGCTCCCGTGCAGGCATGGTGGTGGCGGGTGCGGAGCGGCTCCGTCCGGAACAGGCGGCTGCGGTAGCAAAGAGCCTGGGCAAGCTTCGAGTGGAGGATGAGGTGAAGGGGACTGGGGTGGGAAAGGAGATATATTATCATGATGATCAGATGATGATCAGATGAAAAAGAGAGGGAGTCATATATATGCACGGAAACCAGAAACGACCAGCCGGAGAGCGTCCTCAAAGTCTGAAACTGCCCCTCAGTGGGTGAGTGAGGGAGTCCTAAGCGATGATGAAGTCACCACAACCACCGCCACCACAACCACCGCCACCACAACCACCGCCACCACCACAATCACAACCACCGCCACCACAACCACCGCCACCACAACCACCGCCACCACAACCACCGCCACCACAACCACCGCCACCACCACAACCACAACCACAACCACCGCCACCACCACAACCACAACCACCGCCACCACAACCACCGCCACCACAACCACCGCCACCACAACCACCGCCACCACAACCACCGCCACCACCACAACCACAACCACCGCCACCACCACCACCACAACCACCGCCACCACCACAACCACAACCACCGCCACCACAACCACCGCCACCACAACCACCGCCACCGCCACCACTGCCCCCAGGGTGTTCTTGACGCCATCAGCCGCAGTCTGGTGTCCGAGCTGCACCGCCTGAGTGGGGAGCAGCTGGCGGACTTGGTGGGTCGGTGGGTCGGTGGGTCGGTGGGGCCCACGCGGGGCTGGCGGGCCGGGTGAGGCTGGCAGAAGGTTTACATTATGGGGGTAGTCAGGTAGTCGGGTAGTCGGGTAGTCGGGTAGTCAGGTAGTCGGGTAGTCGGGTAGGGTATCACCCGGGCAGGTCACCCCGTCCAACTGCAATCTCCCCACCCCTAACCCCGCCCGACAGTTTCTAACTCGCAACCAGCCCCCCTCCCCCACGTCGCTCCCCTCCCCCTCACCTCCCCGGGACATTGGCAGCTGCGTCTTGGACTGGTGCACATTCCTGCCCCCCAAACCCCCCAACCCCTTCCCAGACCCCGCTCCTGATGCTGAGCTGCTTCCTGCCGTGCACTACCACCCCGCTGAACCCGGACACTGACCCGCCCCGGGGCCCCCCACACCACCAGTTGGAGGCTTACCAGGCTACAGGGACTAGCCCAGGCCGAGTGCTGGCGGATGCCGTACGGGCACGTTTGCGGGGTGACGGCGGGGAGGGATTGGACGCCACCGCCGCCGTGCCGTCAGGCCGTGCTACTGCTGACGGGGTCCCCCTGGGCCGGCGGGAGGAGGAGCGGGCACCTGGCGGCGGCGCTTGCACCCGGGTTGCACCGCGGGGGGATGCTGAGTCGGAACGTGTACGGCACGCGCTGGAGGAGCTGGGGTACGGGGACGCGGAGACGCCGTCGTCATCGCCGCTGACGCCGCCGCGTCAGGGTCAGAGCGATAGGTCGCACGGGGCAGACTACGATTGAGGGCTAGGGGGTGTTAGGAGGAGGGGGGAGTTGGGTGTATGGAGGTAGCGGGCTGCTTGTTGTCTGGAGGAAATAGGCCTCCGTTGGGTGTCATTGAATTTAGAGTGCGCTTGGAGGTTGGTGTGACAGCATGGGGGGATCAAAGGTGCGGGTGTGGGCGAACGCATCGCAATATGAAGACGCCTAACGTGGGTGCGCCACTGCACATGGTTCCCATAGGTAAAGTATTTCTTATTATCTTATCTGACACAGTCAATTTTACAAGCGTTTTTTTGCATGTGAATGATATAACAAATGACACTCGAGAAATACGATCCTTCAGCAGGTGCAGTAGGGGCTGCCTTTAATCCCAGAAGTGCAGGAACGCGGAATTCCTGTCGAATGCGTATCAGAAAAATAGTTTTACCCAACTTATATTCCATATTACGTAAGGGATTTCGCGGCGATGCTGAGCGAAGCTGCAGGCGCAGCACGGGTATCACACCGTACCGCGAACACAAAGCAGGAAAGTTGATTGTTCGAATTGGGAGCTGTAAATCAAAGAACGCTATCATTCTCCTTAGCCTAGCTTACCTCGGCAATCACCTTTAGATTCAACGTTCAGATCAGTTACTTTTCTGTTAGCACGGGACCTGGGGACGGCGGCACACGGAAGCTGCAATTTACTCTCTCAATCCAACGCAATATGTAATTTTACTTTCTCTTTTCTTTGAAAATAAACGGGATCCTCGTTGTAAGTACAAGCTGCTATGATAACTTAGTACACCTTACGACTTGTTAGACGTGGATAACGTGGGCGAACTATTTCAGCAGTCGTTTTAGTATGTGAAGCTAAGATGTTTTAGGGATAGCCCCAATGCTTAGAACATTTTTAGCAGCGTTCGTCCTGGGCGTGCTGCTCGCGCAAATTGCAGCTGCGAAGCACCCAGCACGCCATGTGTCCCAGATGATTCAAGCGCACTTCATACGGCATGGAGTGCGCCTGCCATCACATGCATTTACGAAGGCCTTGAGGGAGGCCGCAATCGACATTTCGCACCTCAACTGTCACTCGTCAACCCTTGTCATTGTGGCCATGGCCAATGAAGAGGCTCTGAAGCTCACGGTCCCTCTCTTCCTCCGAAGCCTGAAACGCGTGAAAGTCTCCGGCGGGAAGAACGCCGGGGAGACATTTGATGCGCGGCTGGTTGTGGTGGCTTGGTCGCTCGACTCGTTGAAGATGTGCATTGATCTGCAAAGAAACTTCAGCCATCAATGCGTCCGAGACGCACAGCACTTTCCCGGCAAAGAATCCTTTGGATTCCACAGCGACGGCTTCCACGCGCTTGGGTGAGTGCCATCGAGCGTCCGAATCGAAGGAGTTGGGTCAAACACGGGAACCCCTTGACCACCATATTCCTTAATGAATCCTTCCACTTTACCTGTCGGCTTCCTCCCTGCGAACGTTTTCACGGCGGCATGCACCAAAACTTTTCCGCTATAATTAGTTTGTTGACGTAGATCCGTATGCTGTACGAGATCCGCGCAACGCCGCCGGCATGCACGCACTCTACCTGACGTCCCCCATCTCTACAGGACTTCTACAGGACTGCCTTTTGAGCCACGTGACTTTCCATTCAATTAAATAACCAAAACACAAGATGACTTAGGGTTTAGGGATGGTTTTGCGTGCTGCTGGGCACGCCTCGGGGTAAAACACGCAGGCGACACGGGTGCATGTCAAACCGACCCGTGGGTCACACGTGAGAATCTTGACGACAGCGTGAATCGACTACTGCCATTGAGGCATCTTCATACGGAATATGATTGAAGCGTCATGAACAAGGGGACATTTTGATTGCCGCTGCGGCCGCCACAGTTTTGCAAGGGGACATGGGCCTGGGGGTGCGAAGCGTGGAGCTCCCTCATTTGGCACTGAGTGGCCTGGAATAGCGGCCTTAGGCTGCTACTGCTCCTAGATATTCTGTTATTGGTGCCCCAACTACTGCTACTGCTGCTGCTACTTATGCTACTGCTACTTATGCTACTGCTACTAATCCTACTGCTACTGCTACTACTGCTACTGCTACTGCGGCTGCTGTTATTGCTGCTGTTGCCCTAGTAATCCTTTCGCTTCTTGTTTTTGGCCAGGGCTCTTGCCCTAACCCTCCTCCCTCGCTCCGCAACCTCGGCTGCTGCTCGCCTCTTCGGACTTAACACCCTTCCCCCCTCCTGGACCCCCCTCCCGCCTTCCGTTCTTCTCCATCCTTCCCGTCTCCCATCCCCTCTGGCACCAGCTTCGCCAAAGTCAAGTACATCCTCAACAGCCTCTCCGCCGGCCATGACGTGTTGTTTCTGGACGCGGACGTGCAGCTGCTGCGCGACCCGGTGCCGTACATCTACCAGCGCGATGGTGACATGTTCGTCATGATGGAGAAGTGCTTGGTGTATAACGTCAGTCGGCCTATCACCTTCCGGCGCAGTGAACCTGATGTGTGGATACCGCCTCTAAATATTGGTTCGCTGTACTTCAAGGCTACGGCGGGAGTTACAAGATGCGTTTACAACTGGATTTGGGATATGTACGGACAAGTTCCAAATCGAGCTCACGTCTGGGACCAGGTAGGCATGTCTGGCGGCATGTCTGGCGTTACGTCGTCGCAAGCGGTTGTCGGTTAATGTATGTTGTCCCGAAGGCTGTTGGCTACTATTGACAGCATATACATACAGCATGTGTAGGGGCTCGGCCTGGCAGTGTGAAGTTGGTGGAGAGCGCACATCATGCGCACCATACATACATATATATATATATAAATAAATATATATATATGGGGGATATAAAACCCTAAAACCCTAAAACCCTATATATATATATATATAGGGGAACTAAAGAAGACGAACTAAAGAAGACAACCCTAAAGAAGACAACCCTTTAGAGATCTTCCCCTAAAGGGGAACTTCTTTAGGTCGCTCTTCTTTAGTTCCCCTAAAGGGGATGAACCAAAGGGGTGTTCCTCCCCGAAGGGGAACTTCTTCCCCTAAAGGGGACGGAGTCCCCTAAAGGGTAAGAAGGGGATGAACCAAAGTCTTCGTCTCCTAAAGGGGAACCAAAATCTCTTCTTCTTCCCCTTTAGGGGACTCCGTCCCCTTTAGTTCCCCTAAAGGGGATGAAGAAGGGGCTCCCCTAAAGGGGAAGAACACACCCCTTCTTCCCCGTTAGTGTTCTTCGTCCCCTTTAGGGGAACTAAAGGGGACGAAGACTTTGGGGTTCCCCAAAGTCTCTTCTTCTTCCCCTTCAGGGGACTCCGTCCCCTTTAGGGGAAGAAGTGCTCTCCTTCTTCCCCTAAAGGGGAAGAAGGGGTTTCCCTAAAGGGGAAGAACACACCTTTAGTTCATCCCCGAAGGGGAGCACTTCTTCATCCCCTAAAGGGGAACCGAAGGGGGAAGTCATCTTCTTCTTCATCCCCTAAAGGGGAACCGTAGGGGAGTTCTTCCCCTTTAGGGGAACCCCTTTTTCCCCTTTAGGGGACTCCGTCCCCTTTAGGGGAAGAAGAAGAGACTTTGGTTCATCCCCTTTAGGGGAACTAAAGAAGACGAAGAACTAAAGGGGTGTGTTCTTCCCCTTTGGTGTTCTTCCCCTAAAGGGGACGGAGTCCCCTAAAGGGGAAGAAGAAGAGACTTTGGGGTGTGTTCTTCCCCTTTAGGGGAAGCCCTTCTTCCCCTTTAGGGGAAGAAGGGGAGCACTTCTTCCCCTAAAGGGGACGGAGTCCCCTAAAGGGGAAGAAGAAGAGACTTTGGGGAGACTTTGGGGTGTTCCCTTTCTTCCCCTAAAGGGGACGGAGACGAAGGGTTCCCCTTCGGGGAAGAAAACGAAGGGGAAAAAAACGAAGGGGATGAACCAAAGTCTTCCCCTAAAGTTCATCCCCTTTAGGGGAACTAAAGGGGAAGAAGAGCACTAAAGGGGAACCAAAGACGTCCCCTAAAGGGTTGTCCCCTTTAGGGGAAGAACCAAAGTCCCTACTTGTTAAGCAGCCTCTCGCACAAATGTGTCCGGTCGTACTTCGCGAATAAACAGTTCGTACATCGTCCCAAAAGTCAGGAGCGAATTTTGCCGCGCAGATGCGCGCTTGCGATTCTCAAAATGCGCCTGTACAAGTGTATATAAATTTTCTTGGCGGACCAGGTGCGCCAGCGCGTTGCGCAGGTGGGCATGTTGGCCATAGCCGCACGCGGCATGCAGGCTAGACTATTGCCTGGATGCTTTGCAGTAACTGAAAGCACCGAAAGCCAACGTCGTAGCTTGCAACTCTGGGCTCGTGAAACTGGGCTCGTGAAACTGCCGCGGAAGATGAAGCGCTGGCGAAGAAGCAGTTGTGTGCAGCACCTTGTTCAGAGTAAAGTCAAATTACAAAGTTGCGCAAAGTATAACATACATAAACTTAATTAAAC